CCCCCCCCTCCCCTCGTCACACATCGTCACAAATATCTGACCCCCCCCCGCCCCCTAGGTGCGTGACGTCATTTATGGACGGCCCCTTACCTCTATGCTCGAGTTGCTGAACTTCTCATGCAATCTGCTATACCGATGTTTATCTCAGGGCAGTGAAATCATATAGTTAGAATTTAATGTAATCACTGAGTTAGAATTAAAAAAGTGAATTGTAAATAAAATAAAAGAATTGAATTCGATTTTCTTGCATACCCATTAGTGACCAGGCTGACAGTGTCAACTCACGCTACAGGACTTAAAAGCCCAGTCTAACTAAAGATGGCTGCTTAGATTTGAACCCCGGCCTCTCAGCTAGGCCAGCTCAGCGCTGTAACCCCTGAGTCACCCTCGGGTTGATTATTTCATGCCCATGACTCAGAGGAAGTATCAAAGTAACTGCCTTGTTACATTCTTTATATGACGCATTGGAATCAGGCTGGCTACACTGATTTTAATTAACCGAATTCACATTGGCATGGAAACATGTTTGGGGGGGGAGGCACGTTGCCCCTCAAAACTCTTAGACAGGAGAGAAAGCCAAATGCTGTGCTTAAAGTCCTCCAAAATCCACAACCACCATGACAACAACATCTCAAAAACTACCACAACGACAGAACAACCACCATTACTACTACCATCATCACCACCATCAACAAATAAACATAACATGAAATCAACTACCACCACAACCACCATCACCACAAATACAACAAAAACTACTAAAATTGCAACATAATCACAACCACCATCAAATTACCAATACTGTCATCACCACCTCCAAGAGCACCATTAACACAAGTGAAACCACAACTGCTACTGCCATCAATGATCGGTATTAGGAAGGTAAATATAATGAGCGCCGGGTTTAATTCAATGAGGCCCTCTCAACAGCCTTCATGGATGGACACTCTTGCCCCCCCCCTCCCCCCAGAGATACTGCCCCCTAGTCTTCAAAACAATTCTCACAACCCTGCTTGCTCCCGCACAAAAGAAAACTCGTCTATTGGCTCCATCTTTGCAGTTTTCATGCTACCAGAATGTCTTTGTCGCTCGTCCTGACCATTGGCCATCATTTCAACAAAACTATAAACTATTTTTATTTTACCAGATCAGGCCCACTAACCGATATAGCTCTCTTTGTCAGAAGCGACCTGGCCGCAAGTGATAGCTCAACAAAGTGGCTAATCACGTGGAAATGTAGAGCAGCAAAATACTCGAAACGCATGTTTTTAAATGTGGAGGGGAAAACCGGAGGACCCGGAGAATAATCCACGCGACCACGGGGAGAACATGCAAACGCCAAATATACAGGAGTCAGGGACATTCTGTATACCAGGTGAGGTAGCTAACATCTCGCCAGCGTGACGCCCCCTGTGATTACTGCTGCCCACACCCACTCCACAGTATGATGGCTGTCTTCCAAGTGCTCTTCGTTCTGTTGTTCTGGCTCTAATCTCGCGTTAGAATTATTTAAACGTATCCATATTGATTGTCTATACATCAAACCTGGCAGTATGCCATGATTAGAAACTGTCTACAGACACATTAGTGTGGGTTCTTGTTCAATGTAAAATTATCTCATACACATCACAAAATAGAAATAATCGTTCTAGAATTGTCGTGCAGAATATAAGTCAAGATAAGCAGACAACATGCTTCCTCCGCATATTAAAGAGAGGTTCTTTGCCTGTAACGTTTGGAAATTCATCAGCATTGATTCAAGCAAGCCTAACTCTGCTGATTCAACACTGCATGTCGAAACCAGTGGGGAGTATGCGTGTACTGAATCAATGCTGAAGAAGGCCATGGTGCCAATGGGTTGATGTGTAAAAATACTTTACATTCTATGTGGAGAGACAAAATATATGAAGCAGAAATACTGTCTGGCTCATGTACATTATTAGCCATGGATGTATATGAAACTGCTTGAAGTGAAATGTGTCCATTACATGTTAATTATTAATGTTCATAAAGCGTTTTATTTTATAGAGCCAAGTCACCTGGAAGTCACCTGAAAGATCACAGACTGTACATTTTATTGCATTGTACGACATTACAGTAAACAATATTACAATAAGTTGAACACTAACAGTGCCTTAAATAGATTTGCAATCGCTCTTTTTCGCAGCCAATAGAGAGGCCAGATAGGCAGCTGCATATCGCATACTTTTTATTATTATAATTATTAACGCAGTGCAGCCGCGGTGGCCCACTTTACTCCAGTGATCCGGGTGCTGCTGCGGGGTCGACTTTCTGTGATAAAATGTACACTTGTATGATTTATATTACTATATTAATTAATCTAATGTTTCTGTTAATTTTACATTGTTTTTCTTTTCTTGCAATACCTTCTAAAAACATGTTTTTGCTGTTTAAATATTTCGTAAAGGATTAAGGTGCGGTCCTGAAATTGCTTGCCCACGTCACTGCTGGCAGAAGGGCCTCCACTAAAGGGAGCTCTCAAGAGCTTACGTCTTGGAAGTGGTGGGATTTACCCACCCCATGCCTCACCAAATGTGACCTGCCGATCAACTGTTGTGTGAACCATTAATACTTCTGGCTTCTGGGTGGACAGAAGGCCATCGTTTAACATGCTACGCAAGGAGATCGGAACGGCAACCTCTGAGTTGCAAGTCCAGTGTGCGAAACATCACACCACGATAGTGTATTGCAAGTTAAATTACATGTTGCTGGACTGTCACAGTTCTGAAGAATCCTATTGTAATGCTTGGAACTTTAGACCCAGACCTGTGCAGTATGAACATTATTAACCCAAAGCAATTTTTTTCTCAGCGTTAACTAAGTTGCATAGAAATGTGCAGCTATTGTTGTGTTATAAACACCGGTGGTAAAAGTTACACGCTAAAACTAGGGCAGTGTAAAATCAAAGCGAGGCCAGGTGGCACTAAAGTTAGTGCTCCGTTCACAATTGGTAGAAGGTTGCAAGTTCAAAATCTTTGTTTGCGATAATGTGGATCATAATCCGACCACTGTCCATAAAATTATTACAAGTTTGTGAGAAGTCAACAGCAGATCATCTGCAGCCTTTGGATAATCGGAGTTGCAGGATGAGAGGAGTTCACTTTCAGAGGGGTTTACCTTGCAGTTGTCATTCATCCCAAGCTCTCGTCTCTTCCAAAATATCTCAACGCTCCGGGGCTTCATGCCTCCTTCTGCTCAACATCTCCAACATCTGCCATTTCTCATCCCAGTAGAGAGCCATTGTCCATGCCTACATCAAATTCTGACTGAATGAACGCAACTCTCTGCCCACATCCCTCACTTCCAACTCCAGATGTCTCAAAATTAGTCAGACATCTGACCCACGCCTCTAATTCAAACCACATAACCCCTATCATTCAATCCCTCCACTGGCTCCCAATACAATCTTGGATCAATTTCAAGATCGCATTGACTCACCATCTTCAACGTCCTTCATGGACTCTTGCCTGCATACCTATCCCCCTCACCTGGCTCTGCTGACATCAGCACGCTCGCCCTACCAACAGACCGAGCTAACCTACCAGGCTCTGTCATCTCACACCATGCGTGGGATTGTTGCCGTATAAGCCAAGTGCATAATTGTAGCGCTAATCCAAATATTGCTGAGCGCAATTTAACAATGATGACAATGCATATGATGTTAACGGTGAGGCAGTGGCATGGTCTGCTGTGTACTGTGCTTTAGGGATGGTTGGATCAATAATAATACTTTGCCCTAACAGTCTATAAAAGGCGATGTGGGGGATCATTATTCTAGCGTATTTTCTCTATGCATGTCGAGTACATTATGTGCAAGAGTTTTATATCCACTTGTAATACTGCACGTACGTGTCTATTTATGCGTGAAATTGTATGTATTTGTGTTTTAGTCACGTCTTATATACTCCATCTACATGTATTAATTGTTCATGTATATTATCAACAGTGGTTCTCTGGCCCTCATCGTAAGAACGTGGAATTCTCCCATTACCAACGGAGATGATGAGTAGCCTGGTGCAAAGGAGGTGGTGGGTTCGCTCCCGATCCCAACCCCGACGCCTGTATATTTGGAGTGTGTACCCCTCTCTCCCCGTGGACGCGGGGATTTCTTCCGGGTCCTCTGGTTTTTTTCCCTCCACATTTACAATCAACATGCATTCAAGAGTATTTGGCTGCTATACATTTCCACATGATAAGCCACTCATTTGTGGCCAGATCGCTTCTGAAAAAAATTGCTGTATAGTTCAGTGGGTCTTACCTGGTAAATAAAATTTTTGTTATACTTGTCTTTATAAATCTACACGTTGAAGGCCTAATGCGGTAAATGTGCAGCCCTGAAGTTGCTCGTTCACGCCACTGCTGGTGGAAAGGTGTCCACTGGAAGGAGTTCCAGAGAGCCTCCTCTACAGAGTGATGCGACCTACCGACCGACTTCACCACTGCGGAGTGGCAGCCGAGGTGAAAGCCAACAAACTCACCCCTCCGTGCAATCGTTTCAACTGGAGATAGAATGAACCAAAAAAAAAAACGGGCGACCCCTGGATTCCAAGATCAATAATAATGATCACACCGCGGCACAATGCAATAGGTCTCTCGAATTTGTCTCGGTAATCGGCGCGCGTTAACAATGTCCCGGTGCCATTGTCACCGGGGCATTGTCATCTTCACAGCACGAATGGGCAGTGTGGGACTGTGGGTCCCGTGCGGCAATGGGGACTGCGTAAACTGAGCCGCAGTGTGCGCGCGGCAGTGGGCGGAGCTATTCCTTTTGTTTGCGATGCGGGGTGCTGCGAGGGGCGGGGCTATTCCTTTTGTTTGCGATGCGGGGGGGGGCAGGGGGGCGATAGGCGGAGTCGCCCCCCCATCTCTCTCTCTGACCCGCTCCACCCACACCCCCCCCCCCCCGTTTCTCCCCCAGTGATGCTGGCCCCGTCGTATATTTGTTCGTCGTCTCCCTCCACACATTGCGCAGTCTGGGCTGCTGTATGTTGCACACACACAGACACAGACGACGAAGACGACTCTTGTCATATTGGTGATATTTAGATCCTTGCACAAGATCTGCCCGGCGGGGGGCGGGGGGGTGGCTGGGATACTGAAGAATTGCATTGGGCGTAGAGGTGCGTTGGGTTTTTTTGTTTGCTGTATTTGATCGTTTCTCTCTGTGGAAGCGAAGTAATTGATCGGCTCTTCTGCACGCTGCTGTTGGTTGCTCCATGCGAGCGAACGGTATTGGTCGGTGTCACCTGTTGCTGCTGACTGAAGTGCATTGTCAGCATTAAAGGGGGAAGCGGAGGCTTATATCAGCCGTTCTATTCTATTGGTTGATAGGTAATATGAATCCGTGGACGTTACAAGCCATTCAAATAGGATTTCCCCGACAGAGTCGTGCGTATCCGTGTCTGCGCACGAGTGTTACGTGCTGGCTGTAACGTGACCCACAGGGCCGTGACAGGTGGCAGCCCTCCTCCTCCACCGTCAGATTCTCTTTGGACTCCACCCCCCCCCACCGATACCTGCCCCATAGAAGCCGAGGCCGTGGCTTGTCTCATCTGAAAGGACGTGTGTCTCTCTCCGCAGAACCCCACTCACCGGCACCTGGCAAGAGGGCGTTGGCATTCGCCAAATTAGATTTTTTTTTTCGGGGGGTTTTGCTCGGCGGCGGCATCTTGAGCCGTGGCCACCGTTCATCCGGGGGGCAGCTTCGGAGGTTCTTCTGCCATGGGGGGCCTTCATGTGCGCTCCCGCATCCCACCTGGAGCAGCCTGGCTTCTGATGTTCGTCGTCGTCATGCTCGGTGAGTGAGGGGCCGGAGCCAAATAATGGCGAGAATGTTTATATTTTGTGGGAGGGCTTTTTTACATCACATGCAAAATGGTAAATACATTTTCAGCAGTAGTCTGTGGTAGGGAAGTAACGACGACGTATTCTGAGAGATTCAATGGTGTGGGTTACCCTGTCGTTTTTTAATCATATTTGTGAAAAGGCAAAAGACTCCTATTTCAAAATCCTTTTTAACATTTTCTACGATAACGTAATCAATATGATATTATCTCTGAACTCGGCTAGTTCCGTTATTTAGTTTACACCACCTCGCCGGTTATTGTAGGTGATCGCAGATGCCCATTTCGTACCAAACAACAATTATGCGGGTGGAGAGGTGGCGTAGTGGTACCTGGGTCACGACTGACATCAGCGGCGAGTGATTCTACCGCCCCCCAACCCCTCTCTACTTCACCAACCCTCACTGTGACCAGCACGATGAAGCCAAGGAAAACAACCCTCCGTGACCATCACGACAGAGTGGGATGGCTGGGGATTTATCCAGCAAAAAGATTGACAGAGCTGTAAAAAAAGAATGATAATAGGCTTACATATGGATAAATTGGATGCATTTTAAATCGGACTAGCCTCGCAGACAATAGGAGTTGTAGGATCAAGGGCCAGAGATAGGAGCTTTTCACGCCACCGTATTGCCGAGTAAAATGCACCTTCATGATCCTCTTTATGCTTTGAGGCAGCCCTCAGACGCTGAGAAACATTGATTATCGGGTTTTCACATTCATCGATATATCTTCATTAAAAAACGAAGACTGCAACGTTGGGTTCAGGATAATTAAGAGCAAAACAAAGGTCACGCACGACAAATTTGGAAAATATTTGGAGATGTCTACCAGTGGGATGCAACTGGAGGATATGTGCCTGGGGCATTTATTGAAGTGAACCGGGGTTAAAATCATGATACAAAGAGGTGGACAGAGAGCTGGTTGGAGTGCTATTGGAAACCTGAACCTGATCATGAAAAGCAATGTACCTAAAGAATAACGTAATGAGTCAACGGATACTACCTGCTATGATGCGCATCAGAAACGTGGACATTAACGAAGAAAATTGAATAACATGAAGCATGGAGAGATACACACTTAGGGTTAAAACTTAAGAGGTAGCAAGATGAGCATATGGTTTAGATAACATTACTAGTTGCCTGTGTTTCGGGTGGTGGCGGGTTTTAATGACACATTAATATATTTATGCGATCTAACCCAAAAAACCTCTATTATGGATAACATACGGAGGTTAGATGCATCATCCATAATATGGATATTGGTCGCGGAAGCCTACGTGTTAAACTAGTCGCATCATATTAAGCGAAGTAAAGTGGTAACGCGCATTGCGAATGAAGAAACCTACCCGAGTATACGACCACGGCAGAGATCGAGCGATGAAATAATCTCATTTAGAGGTTATTGGTGAATTACTGTGCCAGTCATAGAACCGTACGAGATGGCAACATCTACGGGAGGCTTTCATCCGTCAGCGATTATGATAATTGAAAAGGTCTAAGTAAAACTAAATGTCCAGTGTGAAGGAATATTTATTCGGATGTACCATGTGAATAATGAGCACTAATGCCTGATGGTGTTTTCGGCTGACCAATCGCATAAGAACGGGCCATACAGTATGAAGGGTTGACACGTACACAATCAGTGACTTTGTTACTAAAATGTAACAGGGTTATATTATTAAGTCCATAATTTTGAAATTGATTACCAAGTCCGAATGATTTATATTCGCTAAAGAACACCATTTGCATTTATTGGACGTGCACATTTTTGGGCGGGCCTCCGTCCTTCATTTGGCCGTCGGTTTGTACCGCCCGGCTTTTTAGTCCGTCCCTGACGCCAAGGTGAGATTTTTAAATAAAAAATGAAAACAGACATTTTTTGTTATTACATTAACCTAATATTACAATAAGTCCGTAATTTAACGGAGAGCTTCTTTGTACTATTAGTGACATAAATCATGTAATAACAACGATGAGGATATATTAAATGCCCTCGTGCAATTAGTTTTATAATACTGATGTTGACATTTAAATTGTATTGCTAGATAGCTTGCTAGGTATCAATACAATTTCGCACCTCCGACGAGCACGATTGGCTACGTATGGTGAGAGAGAAGTTCAACATACATACATTGAAAGCCTGCAGTGCATCGTGATCTGTTCACACATACACAGCAAGCTGTAGATGTGGCGCATGCCGATCAGTCAGCACTGTACAGGCTAGGGTTGGCGAATCGCTTAAATGGTGTAAATCTCTCTTCTCGTGGGCGTCGAGGTTCCTTCCATACCCTACCTGGCCAAGAGAAGGCATCGCCATCTGTTTCCATCTGTATGGAGTGTTGCCTCCTCGCATGTGTGGGTTTTCTCTGGGCGCTGCGGTTTCTTCCCACTTATACAAACACTCATTAAGTAGGTGAAAACATTTTTAAATTAAAACCCCAACGCAAGACCCTACTGAAAAAAAGTCAGACTCAGTGTGGCTTCCTGGATAAGTAAGTAATTAAACAGTCAGGAGATTGTATTGTTGCTTAGAATGCTGTTGTTGCCCCATATGTTCTCTTGCACACGTGGTGTCTTTATAATAAAGCCGTAATGTTGATGACAAATGAATCAATAACTTTGTCACCTAACATTTAACTACAGAGTTATAATATTTGCTAAATATTTTTTAAGTTTTACCTGCTTGCAACAGTTAAGACTACTGTAGTGTCAGCATATGTTACTTAATCGGTCGTAGCATGCAATCAGGCCAGCCAGCAGTGTTGTCTATGTCAACGGCTCAAAACAAAGTGGTATCAAATAGCACAAAACGGTGCTACACTGCTGAGATCTGGCGGATCTGGATCTGTAGACCCCGATCCACTGTAATCCAGTGGTAATATGTGGCCATGAGAAGGTATGTGAACGTAAGAGGAAAATGATGGAGGGGGGGAGGTCAGAGGGCAAGGGCATGACGAGAAGAACATATGTGTCTGGTCTATAGGGGGAGTGACACGGGAGGGGCAGTCGCTGCTGTGCCAAGGTGGTAATCACGTGTAAATACACGCATGTGTATATTTTATATTGTGCTGGGACCTCAGGGACAATGGTGTGGAATTCTACAGTGTTGACCCTTCTTCCCTGATGTGCAGGGAATATATGGGGAGACGTATGTATTGTACTTAGCCTCCAAACCTGAAATATTTGTCCCACATCTGACACACACTCATTCCCTGCACACACAAACAGCAACACACAAATACATACACAAATACACACATTAACAAAGCACACAAAAGCAAGTGCAGTTGGCCTGAGACTCGCTCATTTTAACTACACACCCTGCCAAGGGAGCTTACTCAAATTCAGGTCGGGCTTCTAGGCGAGAGCCTGAGTGCAGCGAGTATAGGCCAGGGCATAAGCTATACATACGAACAAATGGATGAGCAAATGTGTGTCCAAGCTTCAAGCCTTGTGAGGAAATGTTTTTTTCATATAATCTGCCTATTTCAGCCAGGCTGAAGTTTGCGTGAGAGCGAACAAACTAATCAGTAAATCAACTGAATGTTATTCCCCAGTTCCAATTGTCCAATTTTCTGTCATCGTGGGACACACTGTCGCTGTAAACTGCCTGAGTGTCGTCTCACCGCGTCAGATTTCAGATCCAAAACAGCAATTAAATACACCAAGGCTAAAATAATTCCATCAGCAGAATCAACACAACAAATGAATAGACAATTGTTCCGCCAGCGAAACCAACAATGGGAAAAAAAACGACCACAAAATTGCAGCAGAAAAACAACAATGAAATCAAATAGTTGCAAGAATATTAGATAACTAATTGAACAGCTAAAGAAGCACAGCATTATAATAGAGTATACACAAACGTAACTAATCAAAGACGTAGTAACAGCAGACAATATAACACGTTAAATCAAGACTCGTGAAATATAGTGGACAGCATTGAAAGACAATGTAATTAAACAAAAGGGCACGGCTTTTTGTATTCAATAGAGGTCAAGGTTATAACGATTGTGCTGCCAGATGATGAATGCTATACAGTGAAGGTGTATTTAGCAAACTTCCCGCCTATGACGCCAGCCCCAACACTGAACATGGCAAATATGTGGTTTGATTTAAAATAACGTTTTGAATTACGATTAAAAGAAAAAAAATATTCAACAAAACGTGTGTGTGTGTTACCTGCAACATTAGCTGTTGTTGTTACTCACCATTACCTGCTGTTTTGTCAATTTTAACACAAGTGTGGCAGTGTTGTGATTGGCAAAACGCAGCGTTGCATTTGTAGATTACATTGTTTTAGACTGTTTCTTTCATTAAGTAACGTAAAGGTAAGATTGTTGCGAATAAAAAAAACCCCAGCAGAGTGTTGGGTGGAGGTTTATATTATGGATTTTATAATGTTTATGAGCTTAGGCCAAAATTATATTTGTACACTTTACGTGTAAATGGCTTAGCCTTTTATTGACTAAAATTAGATCTTTTGACCACAGCATCGATTTGAAATCCCCCAACTGTTGTGACTGGCACAAACCCCATCCATTGAAGGGAGAGCGGGGAACAGGATGAGCATTCATCAACGCTTATCACTAAACAAGCATTAGCATCGTTGTGGAGACGATCAGTAGCAAAATAAAAAAAGCAGCCAATATGCCTCCTGCGCATCTGTGTCCCTCCACATTACACGTTGTATCAGCCACATGGCCTTCTGGTAGGGCATCATTTCAGCAACGTTGGTTCAACACGAATCAACTCTGGCCCGGTTTCGACGTGTCTCAACAGTCAGGCTTGCTTGGACCAATACTGCTGAGCTGCCAAATGTTTATTTGCAACGGACCCATTCTGATCAAATAACTCACCGCACTCCAGACACATGTCCGGAGATAATCAATGTGAGGCAGCATTCGCAAAGCTAAGGTGGGGAAAGGGTGGCAAAGAGTGTGGACTGAGAATCAGAGTTGATGTATTCGCAAGCACGCGCGCGTGTGTGTGTGTGGTCCCTTGATCAACCCTCATCAGCCAGCATCAGCGGCACCCACTTCGTAGCAGATATTTCCACAGATTCTGGCACATATGCATATACATCAAGACAAAATGTGTACTTTGAAATACAACAACTCTAAATTTCAATTCACGCGACCACATTCCCGTGAGGCACAACGCTTTACACTATATCACACACATTACCCGACAACGCTACCTCGTGGAGAAAGTTATCCACAGTTATCCTGGATAAGCCACTTTCCTGTACCACATGCTACATCCATTCCATTGTCTGTGATTAACAAAGGTGACATTCACAGATAAAAGGAGTATATTTTTTGTGAACAATACGATGAAAACTGACGTGCGAAAATGTGTGTGCATTATTTTTAGTCATGAATATTCTGTTGTTTATTGGCATTTATTGAATAATTATAGTAGTAATACTTTAGGACACATAGAGTTCATTGTCAGATGAAAGCCTACCCACTCTATGTTGGTCATGGAGGTTTTTTGACTATACTTCACCGTACTGGTGAGTTTAGGTTGGTGAATCAGTTTCAGTTTTTATATCTTTCGCCACTGATATTAGCCATGACCACGAATTGAACTCAGATTATTGAATTCAATGCACAGTCCACGAACCACTGAACCACCAGTCCACCCCATGCATGTATTACTTGGTTGTTTGTTATATTTAATACTTTGATAACTACTGTATCCTGTGAATGTGTGCGAGGGATAACCTGCTGTGAGAATTCACAACCTTTTGATGTTGTTATACAATCCGGATTTGGATAAGGCTGACTGCAGATTTGATCTGGATTTAGCTCCGATGGAAATGTCACATTATAGTTCGATGATATGTAATTGAAATTTTTGTATGTGCGACATAGGAAAATGACCATTACTCTATATGTAAATTAAAACATTATTATTGTTACATTATTTGTAAAACAAAAAGTCATTGTCACCATAGGTCAAGCAGCATTTTGCAGTGATGTCTCCATGAGTGACACGGAACCAGTGGGGAAGTCCACATTCCTACTATGGGACCAGTCTCTCCATATGATAACGACTGTTAACAACATTTGTACTGTATCTCTTGTATTGATCCCAGAGGCATAACAGACTCAGTGGAATTTTTACTCAAACACTTGCATATTCTCATTCTTGAAATTCTGTATATTTAGAGAGGAAGTCTAAGATTTATTTTACGTATGTTTTATACTTCCTGATTAGAAAAAAAGTCATTTTGACAAGCAGACACGTTTCATTGAAACATTGGTAGAACACCGTTTCCAGACTGTCAATCTTTGTGCATCATCATGGTCATCACGATCCATGGGCAGATAGCCCATTTGGTGTCCACTGCACATTTAGTCATTTGTTTACACTTTGCTTTGTCTTGTGCCAATATGTCCAAGTAGTGCATATCTTTCTGGCACCAATCTATTGTCGTCACGTCAATCTCTTTGTGCTTAAAAAATGTATATTCTATGCTCACTGCATAAACATTAGTAATGAGCCCATGATATTTCCAATCCTATGTTAAACTGAGCCCACACCCTGTATCTTGGTAATTCATTTCTATACTTCAAGCATGTCTTTTTCCTTAAACATATCAGCAGCAAAACCCCACACTCTTAAAGGATTGCCACATTTTTGCCATTTTACTTCTGTTTAAATGTATTCTATGTTCTCCAGCTCGTCATTAATTTCTGCCATTTTTAAACACATTCCTGCGGAAGAAGCTGGTAGGAACGTTGGGTGTTCGGTCAATGGCCAGGGTCAACGGCAGCGTGGTGTATTCCGCAAAAATGCCCGGCTGTGAGGGCGGGCACAAGCCGGCGTGAGCAGGTTAAACGTTGAGTTTTATAAGGGCACCACGGGGTGACCAGCCCCTCCCCACCCAGCCCCACCCCACCCCTCCCACCCCCCACCCAGCCCCTACCCACCCAGCCCCTTCCCACCCTCCCCTCCCCACCCAGTCCCTCCCTCCCCACCCAGCCCCTCCCTGCACGACGGACGGACGGACACAATAATCCCCTGTGGGCTGGTGTAGCCAGGAGGTTCCAACCAATATAAAGTGTGCTCTCTCGACAATTATCAGCGATTATAATGGATATTGTAGCTCCTTGTTCAGTTTCCTGCTAAATCAGTTGCACCGCATCCACGAAACGTTGTTCTTCTCCGAAAATCCTGTAGCACTGCCATCCCGTATAGGTATTGAACTTGTATGTTGTGAACGATCACCACTAAGTCTGTTAACAATATAAAATTACATCTTGCCGTCCCCATTTTTGTTTTAAAGTTCATCCACTTGCTACTGTGAATAAAGTCATCAGTTCTGTCAAACCAAATCGTGTTTAATTTTCCTAATCTTATTTATGGCTCGTCCAGTTTGAACGCAATGATTTTTCTTCCCTAATTTTCTGCACTTCTGCCACCTGCCTTTCCACCAATCACAGATATTTTAATCATCCCCACAGTGTCCCTGGTTCTGATGATCACTTTATATATGGTCTGCAGAAGCTGTAAACCTTTCCCCAATGTATACTTGTGGAATCTTAAACATGTAGAAAAAATGTCCTTATTTACATCCCAGTATCACTTTTAATAGGGGTTGAGCTAATGCTCACTGGTGCTTACACTGCGCATAGAAAGAGTTCACAAGAGTGAGATTCCTGGCCATGGCTGACAAGTGTGGTGAAGTATGGTAAAACAACTCCCACAACTAACACAGAGTTGGGAGACTTTCATCCAGCAGTGGATTGACAAAGGGTTATAATATTAACCCCAATTAATTCACGCTCTCTGGATCGAAGTACATGGGATTATCAATACCCTTGCACTGGTGCATACGCCGACAGATTTCGCGATCAGACTGTGACCAATAGTGCAAAAGTGAGAATACTTGGGATCTATGGATGTGCGATATGAATAGACACAACTTTTCCCCGAGTAAGTCTGCGATTTCGTTTTGCTATTTTTAAGTTGCTTTATAATGATAATTAATTACATTTATGAAGTGCCTTCCTACAAAATACTCAAGGTGCTGTACATCACGCAAATAAATACATGAAAAATTAAGAAGTATAGGCGTTGCATTATACCCAATACTATGTAAATACACAGTACACAGGATGGTGACATGACCTAGTGGTAATGCGTTCGTTGTAGAGGTTCGTGGTTCGAATCCAGTGGTCGTCCTGATTAATACTGCAGGTGTGTTAACCATACAAACATTGGCCGTCTGCTTCACAGTGGACATTAAAGATCCTGTAATGTCATTCGCAAAGAGTATGCCATTGTGTGTGCTGGAGACAAGGTACAAATTTGCCAAATGTGAAAAAAATGCAGTTTACTCAATTGGAATATACATACAAATTATCGGCCCTACTGTGAAAACTTGGCAGGATCCTCCTGAAAAAGAGTCATGAGACTCAGTGAGGTTGGCTTTCCTGGGTTAACAAAAGTTAATTAATATAATTACAGTATGCACATTACCGTGTCCTCTACGATCCCCACAATTATATTTGTTGCTGACACCTGCTGATAAAGATACAGAAACCTCTCACCTAACCACTCCCATTAATGACACTGCCAAAATACTAGCTGAAAACCAGCATCACCTGCATACCAAAACTCATTTTAATCTTGTATCCTTAGACCTTCTGTTTCTACGAACTATTCCTGCGACCTGCTATGCGACCCATTGGTCTGCTGCCACCTTCTCACTCCGTTCCTCATCAGCTAAAGGCCTCTTTCCTTATCCTGTCAGCCCAACCACTCTCTGTGCCCTGTCAGTGTACCACCTACACAATAAGCCTCATTGTATTCATGAAAGGGGCCATATTCTTACGATTGGCAAAAGTACCCCCTTGCATTCGTGTGAATAGCTGAAGTGTGCCTATATTTTATCATGAGGCCTCCTTTGCCAGTACCAAAATACACTAATAGGGTTTTCCCCCTTTTTTATGGCAACAAAACTGACACCTTTTGCAAGGAATCATGTTTACATTAACCACAATACTTGCAATCAAATGCAAACAAAAAACAATACTCTGATAATGTATTCATTGTCCTTGAAACTGATTGGTCCACACCAGAGACAGCTTTTCTTCGAGCCTAGTCTCATATGGTGTTCGACCAGATGACGCTAAAAGGTGCACGTGCCTATATTGTTACCGCAGTTTAAACTTGCGCTTCAGGCCAAGTTTAAACTGGCACTTGAGGCCAAGATCACAGTTGAAAGCTTTCTGATTACAGTGCCTATGAAGGTGCAGACGTGTCAGTATATGTGCCTGTAACTGAATATATTATCATCCCCATGTGAAAATACGTTGAAAGATGTCTATATATAGCCATTATATTTTCCATCGGATGTCATATCAGTGGTCACTAAGAGATTTAAATGGTAGTTGATTAGAGATATATGGATGTCATATTAACTATAGTACTTTGTTCATCTGTTTTCAGCCAAGACGCCACGTTTAGCTGCACAGTCTACAACAAGCATAAGCCACGCGACTGAGTCAAATACTGTGGAGTCTACAGCAGCGTCAAATGTGTCAACATCCATGACAGATACAAATAGTACTGCTCCTAGCACAACTACATTTGCAACCACACCCATCCAGCAAACATCTTCCAACACTGGGACACAAACCCACCAAGTTGTAGCTACATCATCATCAAGTTTAGATCAAACAACCACATCCGTGAACGTAACATCTCATGCCACGGTTTCATCGCAGATGCTCACATCTGCTACAGGCCTCCCAGGATCAGTGAGTACAGTGTCAATTGTGACTGACACCACAGCCATTTCATCTGCCACTCCACATCAGACTTCTCCAGAACCATCAGCAGTTTCACCAATTGTTACCGCAGAATCTAATGGTACATCAACGATTGAAACCACCATAGCAGCCAGCCCCAATGCTACTACCGATAGAGCAACTGTGTCTACCACAACATCGCATAGCGTTGTAACTTCCACTTCGGTTAATGAAACTACCTTGACAGAGAGCACTCAAGGGCCATCAGTGACCGGGCCTATTTCAGCTGTAACCCCAGAAACAAGCACGCAATATACAGCAAATGTGACTGGGTCGTCCACCAGCATGCCCCTCAATACCTCTATGACGCCAGAGCCACCGTTTTTATCAACAACTCCGAGTGAAAACTCAACAGTCACGATGTCAATAACAACTGGCATTGTAAATCATACCTCATCTTTCGTGTCAACTGGTGGGTCTCATCTCACTACTGCATCTCAAAATAACGAGACTGAGACCAGTACCCATTCTTTAACATCATTTCAAACACCGGAGGATAACTCTACTTCCAGTCCCACAACAGAGACATCAGTAATGTCTGAAACCACAGTACAATTGAACAACACCACATCTGCTTTGAACATAAGTGCAACGACATTTCCATCACATGAGACTACCAATACTGTAACAGAGGGCACACTTAAAACAACTGTAAATGCGAGTACAGCATCATCGAACACTCCCACCCAATCAACAAATGCAAGCACATCAACAGACTCAAACAATGCTACAAGCACTTCCTCACACACCGCCATTAATACAACTGCAATACCGGATACATCATCGCAACCGAGCAGTGTTACCAGCACTCAATTCGAGACCACTATGAATACAACTATGATGCCTGAGACTACGATGCTCCTCCACAACAGCACGACTCATGCGACATCTGGAACAGTAGAATCGTCGAATAGCACCACGCAGTCAACAAGCGTGAGCGCGCTAACACAGCCGATCAATGCTACGAGCGCTGCAACACCTGATATGTCATCGCAAGCAAGCAGTGTCACCAGCTCGCCCGCAGTCACATCGATGAATACAACTATGATGGCTGAGACCACGGATTCAAGGAACAACACCACATCTCACACGACCTCTGGGACAACAGACTCGTGGAACAACACCACTCCCGCCACGACGATGAGTCCATCGTCACCATCAAACTCCACTGCCAGTCAAGTAACAGGAACGACATCAAATACTACCACAATGATGTCCCTGACCACAGAATCGTGGGCCACCACCACACCTACAGTAAATATAAGTACAGCCACATCCCAATCAAATCTCACGGCAAGCACGTTGATGTCTGAGACGACAATGTCCTGGAATAATGCCACGTCCAGTATCAATGTCACCCAAGCAACAACACAACTGTCCACAAGCCACGCAGGATCTGCCTCCACCAGCCATCCAGATAATACGACGGCGTTTTCTTCCACAGAAGGGTCTTCAGTTACTTCTCCTCACAATGTGTCAACTCCAAATGTTCCGACATCTTCCACTAATGACACATCCACTGCGGTTGCAACTCCATCTCAGGGTACGAGCACAACACATGTTTCGACAACCAGCTCTGGCATCAATGAGAGTACCACTACTGCCTCACTCAGTAGCAGTACTGTGGTTCCAGTCAATTCCACCACAATGGCTGTGACCACATCTCCAGGGTCAGAAAATTCTACAGTGACAACTGCTTCAGCGACCACAGCCACAGAAACATTTCATACGGCAAGTGGCAGTGCTCCTACCTCATCTACAACAATGTCCATGAACGCGACCAGCCCTTCTACGAACGTGACCAGTTCGTCTTCCGCTACGATGTCAGCAGCAACTCCGAATGGAACTGCAAGCTCAGCATCGACCGGAGTCTCAACAAATGTGCCCAGCATGTCAACACTGGCACCACCAACATTGCCGACGTTTAACCTTACATTTAAGATTACGAACGATCAATTTAACGAATCCTTAAACGACAAGACATCCAATGATTTTCAGATTTTGTCAAAAGAAATCATCATTGAGGTAATGTATTTTCTCAGTAAATTTATAACAGTAATTATGACATTTGTACATTGTGTATATTTTGCTCTTTGAGGTGTTTTAGGGTTGCTTCAGGTGTTGTTCAGCATGATTTCTGACGTTTCGATGCACTTACTTGGAGCTTCTTCAAAAACTATTTGATTCAATTCCATACCGAACAACATGCTGCACAACCCAAAAACACATCAGAGAATTGCATAGCATTGCCACAAAAGCCTATGTAATAGCATTGTGTAGATTTTGTGCGTTCAAATAAGGATCATTCATGAATCAAGGGTCCCAAATGAAATGTTTGTTGCAGTGTAATGTTGTATTCTTAAAAAAAAACATTTAAGACGAATCTTTTGAAATGCATTGTGTAAAGTGGACCCTACTATGAAATACACTGTATTTTCAAAAGGCCCTTTTCTGACAAAATAATGAAACGTTATGCTTTGCAGATAGGAAATATCTACAAAAGCAGCTCTTTAAAGGATTCATACAGGAGCACGACAGTGGAGCGATTTTCGTAAGTGCATACAACATACACACATCTAACACTACACTATGTATGATTATAACAACAAAGTAAACATGCCAATAGTTTGTAATTCAGAGAATATGTTGCATATTAACATAGTTCGTACCTCCCATTAGCATAGTCGGCTATGTACAGTGCGAAATAAGTTCAACACACATGCATACATAGTAACGTATTGATACATATTAATGCAATCCTAAAATTCCAAGCTCGTGAGCATTTAACTGAAAGATCAAAAGAGGAGCACACGAACATTTCAAATAAGCAACAGCAAAGTGACTGTGAAGAAAAGTAATTGGGTTTTTGGGGTAGGACACACACCACTAATAACAAGACTAGTGATGGAATGGCAGCTGAAGGAGGGAATGTGTCCGAGAGGACAATCATTGTGGAGATGGAGCAATGAGAGCAGTTCATGTGCAGGAGTAAAATTAATCATACGGGGTGGTGGCAGCATGGGGGGGCCTTCATGCAGCAGGAGATGGACAGTGGCTGATGACAGTGATGATTGCTAAATTTGGAATTACAACGGAACATGTACTGCATGTCACTGTATTCAACCGGTGCTGGTTTTGGTGATAAATTCACTGCCTCCAATCTCAGATAAAACATGTATCCTCTATTACTATCCAAGGCTTCTTGTCAATTATTTTTCCAAATGCACAATTTGTACGAAGTTATTAACACTAAGAGGCATTTACCGTATTGTATTTGTCGTCTCCCATGATTATTTGATGGTCAAGTGTCTTATTTATCCAAGGTTCAAACGTGCGTGATGCAAGTCAGTACATACTATGAACTAGGCTCCGTGTTTCCCACATCTTTGCACAACCTCTGAAAAATAGAAATGCTGGTAATCGACCCTAAGCAATGTATATGTTTTATTCACACCTCTGATTGCCATTAAACACTGTAGAATTTACGGAAATATGTAATTTCTAGAATGTGTGATATTTTGTAAAGTGGCTGTGAAATATGATGATTTACAGATAAGAGGAATTTTTATCCTGTAATTTGCGTCAATTCCTCTTTTATACAAAACTACAATTTAACAACGATCGTTATCTATTGTATTGGATGATGGCTAACAGTAACACCTTAAATGTATTTTTTTTATGTCCATTTAGTTATGACATGAGAAAAACACTTTCCCATCTTTTTCTGGACAGAACATTAGCATTGACCTTAACCCATTCTATGGGTCTTTCGGTAAAGCCACGTAGATAGAAAAATTATAAAAAATATCACGACGTTTCAATCGCAACACAAGCAATCAGATTCCTGCAGTCACGAAAGCTTTAAGTCAAGACCTTAACCTAGTTATCCACACTTCATATGGCTAATGTTTAAGGCAGAGTCGACCTAGGGGAGGCCCAGAACTGTTTTAGATATTCACAACTGATGCTAGCCATGGGGTGGGGGGGGGGATTAAACTCAGGTTCCCGCTTTCATAGCACAGTGCACTAACCACTGCGCCACCACTCCCCCAGCACACATATCTGTGCACACACACCCTATCAGAAATGCTCAATTTGTACCGTACTTAGCCAACCGTGCTAATATCAGAGGTGTAATGTGGTATCTCAAACTCGAAGTCAGACAGTCCTATTTGGCTGTCTCTCTGTGCTGCTATGAATTTGGACATTTCCAAACCTACCATAAATGTTTTCTGTTAGAAAGCATTGTTAATGCTTAATGTGGTATATTTTATTTGTGAAATGTACCTGCACATTATACCACTACCAGTGCAGTCCCTTTTATATTTTCTCTACATCTGCACAGATCTTTATTGCAAAAGAAGACCCTCAATGCTCTCCTGGCTGGTTTTAGAGGGCATGAATGTATATACATATATACTGTATGTGTATTAATGCTTGAATGTCTTTTTTTAGGAAAGGATCAATTGATACAGAAACCAGGGTGGTGTTTTCCAACAACCCAGTTGTCAATAGTATGGGAGTTCTAGACACATTTAAGCAAGGACTAGAAGTCGATCAGCTTGGTCGTTTGAAAGTCAACCTCGATAGCATCAAAGTGACTGGTGAGAATTTTTTATTTATGTGTACACTATAGGCCTAAGTTCAGCTATTTACATGTGCAATGTTAACCGCTATAGTGTATCCTGTTTTTGCAAATGCACCATTTGTCTTATAAAAATATACGTTTGTTATACTTTCCAAATTTTTTTTTACATATATATACGATTTTTCTTTCACAAAACAAATGTGCCCCATAGTATGAACTGAACAAAAACAAACTTGTCCTTAATAGGTGGCCATTTTAAGCCACTTTAGAGTTACAGTAAACATCGCAGTGTGATCCGTAGGCATGTACTGTAGTTCCAGAAGGCAACAAATATCATAAAAGCATTTGACGCAGGTCTAGAGCTCTACCTGACAGAAGGATATCAGTACATGTAAGCATTGATCTGGATATATACTCATGAAGGTCTGGCAAGAATGCAGACTAAGTTAACAGAGCACAGGCATCAGGTTAGAGAGAGACAAATTTAGACATTGTGTCACTTTGGTTATGAATTCGATGGAATACTTTCTGCAAGAGGTTATTGTGACTGGAAATTTCCACCCCCATTACCTTTCACCCAATTCATGAATCACATATCTGCACTGTAACAAAGTAACGAGAAGAACATATTCTGGCCATTGAATAGAGTTCTATGCAGAAAATGCTAATAATTTGAAAGAAAAATGCACCAAGGGCAGACCTCAGTGACAGTTGCAGGATCTGGCATGAGAAAGGAAGTGATGGTGAGGTGTGGCAGCATCAGGGCTTTTGGCCATGATGATCTTTTGATTTGTATCATTACTTTGACAAACATCACAAATAAGAGTGTGAACACTGCACTTTTTTTATATAAACTGTGTTTTTCCTATTTTACATGAACCTTATTAATTTGGTTCATCCACTTAATATTGTGTAATGTTAAATACATGGTCATGCTAAACAAACGTTTCAGTAATAGCATATTAATTTGGTTCAGGAATGTTTTTCATAGCCTTGTTATCCATCGGTATTATTATTATCATTGCTATTTTTGCTATATTATGAGCCTAAAATATGCGTGTGTATGTCTGTGCTTCAAATGTCTATAGATGTAAATTCTGGGACGCAAACGACAAGTAAGTCACAAAGCACCCCCATCCATGCTTTCAATGGGTTCTCACAGGCTTTACACAGAGGCTTTCCCTGATTGACATTGGTTGCCTGGGTTTCGATTCCACTTCAACCTGCCTGGGTGTCATTTCAGATGCATACACTTAGTATGCAGGAGAGACTGTCTTCCCAATGGCTATTCCACGTGAAATCAACACAAACAATAAAAATGTTCGTGACCTCTGTAATAAAAAAAAATTTGACAATTATGCTTTTCTAAAGAAACCCTTCAATGCTATCAACTATTTTTGTCATTTAATATTTAGACAGGCAATGCAACTTACTTACATTTTTATATCCACAAATTTTGATCAGCATTTCGTTTTTTTTTACATTTGACCATGTATTCTACGAACAATTGACAATTAATGTGTATATGTAACGTTAAAGATGCCCCTGGGACTTCACGTAATTTTATTACACTTGGCAGGTAACAAGTATGTTGATTCCGTACAGCAGGACACCACTATGAAATATCCAAAATGTAGTAACATCAAAAAACATGTTCTCAATTTAAGCATCTGGTTACATTTGAAGTGTTATCTTTATTTATGGTTGCCTTTTGGTTGTTATTACAATAATCTCGTCTTTGGTTGTTCAAAAATGTGTTACAGGCTACTTCGTTCTTCATTGGTTGATTGTCATTGGTTGTTGAGTTGTTTCCTTGATTGCTGTTTCGTGCAGCAAGTCGTTATTGTCACCTGATTGCGTTTGTGGGTTATTGAATTGCTGTTGGGTAGGATGCTGTTGAGTACGTGTATATTTTCTTCAATTGCAGTTTTATTGTTGTTATAGATTTTTTTTTCAGGCGGTTGTTGTGCCAGTTGTTCGATGATAATATTGTTTCATTATGTAGTTGTTAATTAGTTATTGTTGCTTGTTGAATTGTTGATTTTTTTTGAATTGCTTGGCAGGGTAAAGCCCATGGTACTGTATGGTAGAGAGAGCAACACTGCGTGAATGTTTCATATCCTCTGCCTCTTTTGATTGACGTGGCTTTTTTCAACAAAAAGCCTTATCCATCACTCTTGAATCCTAATGAACGTACACATAGTACACATTGACCCATATAGTTAATATGGTTCTAGTATAGTATAATAGTAATGCCCTTTGTTAATTCAGATAAGCCTCACCGAGTCTCAAGGCTATTACTCAGGAGGATCATGTCTAGGGATGTTTGTCAAATTGAAAGCAATATCTTAATATAGGAAATGGTAAACTTGATTATATTCACCTTGGTGTTATACTAATATAGCTAAAATATTTCAGACAGTAAAGTAATGCCTTATTGGGTTGTGTCAGTGTATGTGCACAAACCTGTGCAATTCATGATACATTAAACATGTTACACATTAATGGTTAAAGAGCATGTCTCAGTAGAATATATGAACACCCTTTTGAAGTGATCCGCGCTGCGCATTAAAAAAGGCATCAAATCATAAAGTTCCCTCTTTATTGCAATTTTATGCCATTTACGATTTTTTTAAAGAAAATCTGGTAAATACCAAAAGAAAACCTGTTTGATACGAAATTGCACCATCCGTCTAAAACATATTCCCATTCCAAAAAATGTATCTGCTATAGGAATTGAAGGCCGTTTTGGGAATATTTTTCTTAATTTGAACTGTTATAAACTCATTAAACTTTCCCATATTGTGCTTTATATAATAACCAGTCCAGGTTGTTTCTATTTCCAAAGGTTGTTATTTCCATCTAACTGCACACATGCTGGAATTCCATTCTACAAGTTCTAAGGCAGTCAGATTACTTTACTGATAATTCCATAACTTTGCAATATTCTGCAAACAAAATGATATGCTATTTTAAGGTCTTGGTAATGCATCTTTAGATATTCCCAGCTCTTCTTTATTCGCTGCAAACAGTAAACACAGTATATCTCCAGGCTAATCTGGTCTTCCATGAAGCGAGCTTACATTTGCTTATATTCAAAACACCGGTAAACACCTTACCTGGATTAATCAACAATCTTTTCCCTCTGGAGTTACTCCCATTTTTTATGTATCCTCTCTTTGTAATGATATGATAACATTTGTTCAGGTCTGTGTTATCTGCCTCCTACTTCTCAGTGGCGAGATGTTAACTACCTCGCGTGATGTAGAGGAGGTCGTGGGTTCAATCCTGAGCCTGACGCCTGCTGCTGTACATTTGGAGTTTGCATGTTCTCCCCGTGGTCGTGTGGATTTGTTCTCTGGGTCCTCCACCATTTCGAAACATGCATTCAGAGTATTTGGCTTCTACACATTTCCACGTGATGATACACTTCGTTGAGCTATCATTTGTGGTTAGGTGGCTTCTCAGTGGGCCGTACCTGGTCAAATAAAAACATGTTTGTTTAGTTTATGCAGTTCCACCATGTTTCATCATCAGTTTCTTCTAGATCTCACACCTGCTGTCCCAGTAGAGTTGCTCACTTTTTTCAACTTCCTGTGCCCCACATGCCCTTAAATGGTTTAAAACTTAGGAGGAGGGGGGGAGTGAAATTCCAAGTCATAGTTTTCTGATTGTACATCGAAACGTCTAAAGTCTCCCTTGGATTTTTCCAAAATACAAGATATGAAGCTATACATTTCTTTCAGTGAAAAACAAAAATAAACTGATGACATAACTTTTTATATATAAAATATACATTTGTCAATGTATGTTTTAAGCAAACCTACTTAATATATACCATATTACATTCCCACACAATAAATGTACGTAACCCATTAATACGCCCACAAATTATTGTACAAAGACATAAATGGCAGAAATGCATGCCTACATACACAAAGACAAATACCCCCATATAGCCTTAACAGAATGGTGGGGCAAATACTGTTAGCGAGTATCTATGAAAGCCGGCATGGCACATGAGGGGGTGGGTGGCCAACACCACACTTGTGGCGATGTTTACACATCGCATAAGGTACTCATATGAGGCCGAGTCGACCTAGGGGATGCCCAGAACCGGTTTAGATAATCGTCACTGGTGTTGACAGTGAGCGGGAATCGAACTCGGGTGGCCGGCTTCGTAGTGCTACGCTACCACTCCCCATACACACATACATACACACCTACACGTACACACCTACACGTACACACAAAAACAACATCCGCCTTTCACCACAAAGAGGAGGAGGTGATGTCACCACAGCACTCTGTCAGACTCGGTGTATTTTGAGGCCATATGACGGGGCGAAGTCTATCTGGCAGGAGGTCATGGGACAGGCCCAGATGTTACAAGTTAACTGACTGGGTTGACTCGCTGAGAGCACCACCCACACTCCCAATATTTAGTTTGCCATCAATAGATTTGACGTCGTGAAGGCTAAATCTTGTCACTATTATAGGGTAGGGTTATTGTCGAAGTGCCTACCATTATCACTCTTATCATTGCAATAACCAAGTTATTGTTTCTACACCCGGATTTAAAAAAGGACTGTGCTCTTCATCGGTCACAGTGCAATCTGAGTATCAATTGCAGCATGTGATTATATCTGTCATTTTCAGTTATTATTTTATGTTGGAACTGGGTATTGCATGTCAGGGATCACATCCTTCACAGATGGGATCAGATCACGAATTTTATGTATTGTTTTGAATAGAACTTGGATCGTGTGTTTGCTCATGATTTTGGAATTTTTTTAGTGACCCCTGCTATGTATGGCAAGATTATGGTTTTGATTGGGTCCTCAGATGGTTCTTTCCCAACGGTTGGGTGTTCCAGTTCACTGGCTAGGTGATGACTGTCAGAAATACATCGAGCTCTATGGTGTAGAGTTTTGATGAGGGAATTCTTCTGTGATGGATGGTGGTGGGAGTCAGATTTTAGGTAGGCATCCATATGGGTGGCTTTCCTGTAGATAGTGTCCCATTGAGCCATCTGGTCTCTTTTCAATTAAACATCCATGAATGGTATTTGCCATCCTTTTCCACCTCCATGGTGAATTTGATGGCTGGGTGTATGGAATTGATGTGGTTGAGGAATTGGTTCTTCCAACCTATCTACGTGACTTTACCGAAAGGCCCAAGAATATGTCTTCTTGTTCTTTGCCATGCTGGATAAGCACATGCCCGTGTTTGTCATACTTAGGGCCCACTTGTGTATTGACAACATTATGCTTTGGAGTTGTATCCAACAAAAATTGTATTCGGTCATACAAGTTCTGTATGGATTCATCTTCTACAGCCTCATTTGGTGCATAGGCTTCGGCTACAGTCATATCACAATGTCTAACATCATAGTTACATTAAAATAAAATAAAAACCTGGCAACATACTTTCACAATGTTCTTGCTAATGATGGTTCACTTGCCCACTATTCTTGCCTCATCTGCTTGGTAGAAAGTAGGGAAATGCCCGTTGCGCTATACTCACTTGGACCTTAAAGTTAATCCAGGAAACAAAAAAAATGTATTTTAATTTAAATAGCCTCTTTTCACCCTGCCCCAATTACTCAGCTGAAGAGACCAGATCGGCTAACCCTCTTTTTACAGCCACCACAGTGCACACCATGTAAATGCAGGCATCTGACCTAACAGGGGATATTTTGTTGTGTCTCATGTTTTACTCGCGTTTTACTCACGTTCCTCATGTGGATGTCATTGGTCTATTGAAGGCTCAACTGGTTGACTAGGGTTTCACGACCTTGTGGGTTCCTAGCCTATTGAGCTCATAATACAGGAGGTCGTGGGTTCGATCCCGACCCTGACGCCTGTACATTTGGAGTTTGTATGTCTCTCTCCATGTGGTCGCGTGGATTTTTCTCCGGGTCCCCCAGTTTTTACCTTCCACGTAATAGAAACATGCATTGAAAGTATTTGGCTGCTCTCCATTTCCAGGTGATAAGCCACTATCATTAGTGGCCAGGTCGCTTCTGAAAAAGAGCCACATAGCTTAGTGGGTCTTATTTGGTATAATAATAAAAAAAATGTATATATACCAGGTTCCAGCTACTCATGAAGTGGTGAAACCTTTTCATTTGAAAATATGTGGGTGATAAAAATGCTACCATCATGATATGACACTAATTCAAGAACTGTATATGGATACAGTACTTTTATATATTTAAATAAATAGTGTTCCATGTAACATACTTGGGTTGACTATAGGGTTGTTTTCTTTAAATCGGTCACTTTTTATCCCATAAATTACCAATGCATGAAATTAAACAATGTACAGGTATAGTGGTACAATAATGCCTGATAATTAATAGAATGTCTCAATTTGTGCATTTACAATATCTTATTTTTGCCCGCAAGCCCACACTAAAACTAAAAATGTATGTTTTATTTTTTTGTCAAGGCACAACAACGACAAGCGCTCCGAACTTGTTCCCAGACTGGGGCATCGCTCTCATCGTCATGACGAGTCTGATCCTCTTCATCAACATATTCCTTTTCATCGGCTGTGTAAGCCTGGGCGCACTCATTGCTCTCATTTTACTCTTTATTGTGATCACTATTCAGTACTCTCGCCATTGTAATTATATAATGAAGAGTGAGCAAGTTAACTGTTGTTTAGCCATGTACAGGTTAATATTTGTGAAATGTCTTAAAGCTGCTGAAATCCTGGTTTCAAATTGATGTCAGGTAAAAGTATGTGCTCATGTGTGGTTAATTGATTGTCTCCGCCTATTTACTGAGGCATACACAAATGACGATGTAAATGTTGGCTTTAAATTAATTCAGCTTCACCCAGCTCGGAAAACAAATCGTATTTTACGGAGAGTCGCAGGGCAGACTACTCACTTGCATTTGCAGCTGAATGGAGCAGAGTGCAGTGATTGTCCAAGGTGGACCCTTAAAGAGCACGATATAAAGACTTGTGATGTCACTTCTTGGGAGTTCTCAAATAAGCCACATGACACCATTCACAGGATATTATGGGATATAAAATTTGCACATTTGGTTGCACATGCCACGAGCACATCTAATAATATTTGGCCCGGAATGAGTGAACTTACGTCAAATTTGTATCATATTCTGCAAGGGTTAGTCTTCAAAGAATGTATTAATCTTTTTTTAAATATAGACGAAGGCCTACGACAGTTTGTACTGGTGGGTTTTCCAGGCTGCTTAGCAGATGTTAAATCCTAAAAATAAAACTGTTGATTGGAAGACAAATTTTCAGATTTTTTTTTTCTTTAACCTAGGTCTATAAAATGTTGTATCTGGATACAAAATATTTTTAATAACTACATTTTCCAATTACTTTTTCATAAAGTGTGTTGCTGACACCAGCAGATAGCAGGCCAATTCCGCTCTACCATATTGTCATATTGGTGGGGAAACACGCAACACATTGTTTATTTATTTCAGATTCTTACCAAGTTATATACTTGTATTTCATAAAAAAATATTATTATTTATTGCAAATTGAAACCCATTTTCTTGTTTTAAGTAGCCAGGAGAACACGATTGCTCATTACCTCTCTATAAATGTATTTGTATTACCTGGCGAAAGCCTGAATAAAATACTATTACAATATGTAGGATCTAAAACGTGCATGCGATAATTGGATGCCAACTGTTGGTCCAAACAAAACACGAATTAACTTTCATTGAGGTTCTTAAAATGACAAGGGAATTGGTTGTCTTTTTAATTCATTACAGATCAATCTATTCACTGTTACAAAACAGAGACAACAATAAAAGTTTAACCTCAATGTAATGAGGTTTTTTTCCCAAAACATATCATTAACAAGTTGACTGTGCCATAGTTTAGACATTTTCAATACGGGATTATCAGAATCAGAATCTTTATTTAGACTGGAGGAATCCAATGAGCTATGAGGCTCTTTTTCACAGATGTCCAGTAGGAGCGGGTCAGCAAGTAACACCACCAACAACAACAACAAAATGTAGATTGTCTCCAAACATCCCAGGGTTTTGTGATATCTGCTACGAACCAGTCTATCTTAGTAAGTTCAAAATAACAAAGCCTATATGTTAACTAGACATTTTTAACAACACATTATGCGTTGATAATACAGTATATGTTTTGTATGTTTTGAATGATAACTCACAAATTTTTATTTTGCTTTCCTACAGATGATCTACTTTTGCCGGCGCTGTAAATGTTTTGGCCGGAACAGCAGCTACTGTCCAAGTGAGCAACAAAACTCATTCCCCATGTATCATTCCCATTCCACCTTCGCCCACTCCAGAAAGCAGCACAGCTTGCCCGAGGTATGTCACCTACGGGCTTCCATCGTACCCATTGCATGGCATGACATTGAGCATGTTCCTGAGGATACATCATAAGTCCCTGGCTACATTGATACATCAATGTGCAGTATACAGTACACATACAGCTACCGTGTAAATGGTAAAGAAAGTTAAAGGTGCATCCTTGCAATTGCTTGCTCATGCCACTGCCGGACAAAGGGCTTCCATATGGTGGAGCTCTATAAAGCCCCTGCAGTGGGTATTTTGCCTTATTCTTCCATGCTGAATAGATATATTAAAAGAGGTGGGACTACCCACGCTTTACTATGTGACCTGCCAATTGATTAGTTGTGGTGTGTACCACTTATACTGCTGAGTGGACATATGGGAGTGGATTTAAGAAACTTGCCCATTGTTTCAACTGTCACACCATGTATGATTATTTTTTGTTCACGCAGGAATGTTTCACTGAATCTCAAGGCTCTTATTCATGTGTGTCCTGATAAGCGTTAGCTGTACCAGCAACGATTAATATGCAATTAAGTATCTTGAAAGCCATTTTTTTTTTACAATTTTGATCATGATGCTGGCACACATGGCCAACCATTTGTTTTAATATCACAGGCTCGTTAATGCCCACTTTGAATGTGTGTACTGTATGTTGCACTTCATTCGTGATAGTCAGACGTGCGGGATGGCACGCATTGTTTACAATTAATACACCTATAGAATTAGCCAGAGAAGCCATGGGCTCGAACTGCAGAATGGCAAATGTGTTTCTGCTGGCCCATCTATTTACCAGGCCTGTAACGTTCTCTTGATTCATAGATTAAAATAGATGTGTACGCTTAGAATACACGCATTAAATCACAAATCACAATTGTAAGATGTAAAATGGACACAACATGGAAATGTATCTTGAGGATATACGAGAACAGAGGAAGCTGACAATACAAACAAGACACAGTTTCAGTGAGACAGACAATTTGCCCTGGAAACAGCCAAGAGCATTGGGACAGGCAGCGCAGTACAGATAGTATTGTAGTCACTGTTAAAAATATGCGTCATCCGCTTCACAGTTGATGTTCGAGATCCTGTGACATCATATGGAAAAGGGTAGGCCATTGTGTCCTGGGGTCGTGTTCCAAATTTTCCAAATTTCAAAATCACCTGCAAATTACTGTACTCAAGCGGGATTGCACGTAGCAACATGGCCACCTACTCTAAAACTGTTGCGAACTGTGTCTGTGAACCAAGCACATTTGTTAGAGCCTTGCCCTGTAAGAATGGCATAAAAAAACTAATGCGATAAATAATTATCAATTATTAGTGCAAAGGCTGCAATGGATAAATAACATTATAAAAAAAAGTGTTGCTGAGTCGAATTGCAACTCAAAATTGTGACAATTAATTGAATTTCTGGTATGTGCATCGTTACTTACATATCTCATACATGCTATTTAACATGTGTCTTTTATGAGCGTATGTATTCTACTATACTGTATATACCACAATCTACCATATCTATGGGTGCTATTTTTAATCCATAGTTCCCACCTCGTAAATTCAGTCAGTCAGAATAGACTTGAGGAATCCAATGAGCTGTGAAGTGCCTCTTCACAGATTACCAATAATCACGCCTCAGGTGATCGATAATTGATTTATGAATTTGTTTATATTACCCTTCACTTTTTAAGTAAATATATATACAAAAGACTGAGAAGCACATTTTATATTTGATGTCCATACTCGTATTGTAACGTAATACAGACCTTTGATAAAAACTCAAACATATTTAGCGTAGTAGCTTTCATCAGACTCTTAGATTCTTTCGGTAAAGTCACGTAGATAGAAAAATAAATCAATAATAGATCACGACGTTTCGATCGCAACAACAAGCGATCACCTGAGGACGATCGCTTGTTGTTGCGATGGAAACGTAGTGATCTATTATTTCTTTATTTTCCTATCTACGTGACTTTACCGAAAGAACCTGAGAGTCTGAAATCCAGCAGTCACGAAAGCTTCTAGTCAGCTTTAGTCAGGTTAAGGCCTCTTCATATAATAATTCGAAAGCATGGGATGTCTGGAGAACTAATATATAAAACTCTAATCTCAGTGATGTAAATTAAGCATGTTAACGATACGATAAATTATGAATCCATAATTTGTATCTGAGTGCCAGCTGTTTACTGCATTTAGAGCAAACGTACAGATTCTGGCTGTGGGAGTGAACAGCTCTGATAAATATTCATATTCTTGGTTCTTTCGGTAAAGTCACGTAGAAGAGAAATACGAACCAAGAATATGAATCCCTGCAGTCACGAAAGCTTCAAATCGAAAGCTCTAATGAATGTTTCAATTCCATGAGAACAGTTTTCTGAACGATCAAGTTGAATTCTCCAATTTCAAGCGTGAATACATGTTTAATCCTTGTATGTGTGTGTGTATATATGCACTGCACCGTTACACAACAAACGCTGTTTTTTTGCCACCGGATCCTAATGAATACTGAGTTCTCATTATTGTGGCTAAATTTAGACGTTTGCTAACGAGCGCCCAAGTGCGTGGATACCTGAAGTGTCCACGTGCCAGTCGCCTGACCGCACCGGTCTCCAAGAGGCCCAGGGAATGGCAGTAACATTATCCGAACAAAGTAAATGATTAATTCAGGGAACAAGGAGCAGGTGCGTTACATGATTGATTTTCAGGCAGCGCCACAGGTACAGACACTGCAAATGCACGTACTGTATATGTGCTCGTTTAGCTTTATTTAAAAGCTAAAACATTACCACGTTGTCCGTCTCGTGCACTGTCAATGCAAACACCCATTCGAAATACCTTACCACCCCGTTGTCATTACATACAATGGATTCTGCTGTGGCCCTTTTAAATCCTCCTACAGTCGTCTTTGTGTAGGATTTGTGTTTGCAAATTAGATTGTGTGCTTACTCCATGCTCATCTTTACGTTCTGATCGTGCCTTAGAGGGGGGGGGTGGGGTGAACCCATATCGTTTGGAAACTTGCGCAGGCTTTTATTGTGCGCTTGTGGCAACCGGTTAGCACCGGCGGCTGGCATGGCGGAGATGGTTGTGGTACAGGATTACACGCAGGATGGGGTACTGTTAAGGGAGTTACGTTGCCTGGGGGGGAGGGGGCTGATGGTGGAGAGATATGGAGAAGGATTCCACGCACAAAATGCATATGAGGCAAAGAGAAATAATGCTCCACTGTCCGCGCCTGCAACAGTGAAGTCCAAATCCCCAGTGTTTTCTTTCAAAATCAACAATTGGGGAATGTAAGGGAATCCCATTGACCATTCACAAGCGTATTTTATTTTACTCGGTTTAGTATTTCAAGTATGTAAATGTATGTGCATACATCATTTCTAAATGTAATCACCATCAGCCATTGGCTACCCGCTGCTGGGTAAAACATTTCCAATGCCTTTGCTATCCAGTGATATTACATTCTGCGATTTCACCGTCCATCTTGCCTTCTACACACGAATCGACTCATCGGTTCATCTTCACAATCGTCGGCCCTCTTGGTTGCGTTCTGTCCTTTGGCTGCCACCTTCATCACCAATCTTGCCCATCAATCATCATCCCTTCTCACAATGTGTCCTGCCCAAGCCCACTTAATTTCACAAGTAAAATGAAATACAGTCCTCTAATTAGAGTATTCTATGTTAAAAAATCCATACTTTTCACGAATCAAAAATGCTAAAAGGCCCAAGTTAGATTTTATTTTTACACTCCAATGTATACTACACACATTCTTTATTCATATATACACTTTTGCATTCTTTATTAAATTACATTCCAACACTTATTTAAGTGAAAAGTTCATCTCTGCTACCTATATGCCAGACTCGTAGCAATGCATAGATACATATTGTATTCTTAAATTGAGGTGAAGGCAGGCGTAAGGGTCTCGGCAGCATGTGTGGCAAGGAAGTGGAGGGTATGGGAGATGTTGCGCAGGTAAAGGTAGGAGGTTCCGCACAGATACATTATATTGGAAGCGAATAAGAGCTTAGGATAAATAACGTCTCCAAGATTGCACACACTGATGTTGGAGAGTAGGTCGGGAATGCTCGAATTGAAAATTTGGTCCCAGAACAAATTGCTGGATGTACAACAAAGAGCAACCAATTTACAGCCTAACATGAACAGCCAAGAATAGTAACATGGGAATCAGAGAGGTATCATCTAAACAGAGGCTAAAACTAATACTTGAAAGTTCACAAGGATCTGAAGATATACCAGGAGATTGAACCATAAGGTCCATAGTGCCAAATGCAGCTGCAAGATGGAGCTTGAGCAAAGATGGCTCACTGCTACCTATATGTCGAATTCAAAAGAGATCAATCAGACAATATGTCTATAGACAACATGTCTTTTGATAGGTCCATTGCACTGATTCGATGATGATGAAATGACACACTCCCAGAAGGCAGTGCGGCCATTGGGCGATGTAAGAAAATCTTGTTATTTTTACGTGGAGAGACATACATATATGAAGATGTTAATCTATTTTGTTACACTCCTTATGAATATTATTTGTGAGTGAATGAACTAATGTGTATATTGTTAATTCTTATTAACAAGTTAGAGATATTCATTTGTTTTGGTTGCCCACATTACTACTCAATTGTAAGTTAGTCAGGTAACACAGGCCATAGATAATTTAGTTTTTAGATGCTCTAGATGCAACTCATATTTGCATTCTGTTTTCCATGAGCACATTTATGCCAAATGAGCTTGACGGTATACAAGCACAATAACTACTAAGGACAATTATTTTTTATCATAGCTTAATATCATGTACGTGTTTCCCCTTAATAACATTATTCATAATTGTCTTCACTGTCATTTGAATGGTAGCAGCATCATTGGTTTGAGAGTAAGAGACTATGCACCATTTCAGGCTGTAGATTAGTTTGATTTGAAAATGTGGAAAGTTAAGATGAAGATATAATTTACTTAATTTAAAAGTATTGTTCATTTTAGGACAG